GGAGAATTTCTTAATGGCATTAAAATGTATCTTGCTTTTAATGAATTTGGAAAGATCTACATTAATATTTATAAACAAAATATTATATTAAGAATATATTAAATTCGATCTCAATAAAAATTAGAAAGGTTTGTCATAAATAATTTATATTAGAAATTATATAAAATGGCATAATTCATAATTAAAAATACAATACTGCAAGTACATTGAAAACATGTCATTTTAATATATGTAAAATTCTGTTGTAACCTTTTAGTATAAAAATTAAACTAGTATTTTGAATGTTTATATTACTCTAATTAATAAAAATTTTAAAATTTATTATAACATTTATTAATTAATTTTATAAATTTTTTAAATTACTACCTAAGTATTTTTTGTCTTACAAATATTAAAAAATTAAAGAATCGTAACGCGAAAAAAATTAAAGAATCAATGATTGAGTCTGAAATAAAACTATGAAGCAGTCTAGACAATGAATTTTTTCGACTTAAAAATTACTCTAGATTTTTATAATCAATACTCTTATTATTGATGTACTTTGACACTTTTAAAATGTTTATTTAATTTTTGGCTAAAATAATTTAACCGATAAAATGATCTACATTATTTCTATAATAATTTTAAAAAGAAAAATACGGCTTACTTTGATTTAACTCTGATTTACTTTGATTAACTCTGATGTATTTGATTATATATTTATACTTATTGATTAATAAGTATAAATATATTTATAAAATTAACCATTTAAGCAATTTAATCATGAAATATATAATATACGTCATATCTCATGTAGAGACGTAATAGATACTTTAGCATTACCTTCATTGCTATCGAGAAATCAACCCTGTTGGACATTCGTGGTTGCAACATCGTCCAGATAACAGAGAAACAATGGTAGATCATCCTTCAATGTCAATGTATTTCTGTTTCTCCGAGAAAATGTTATCGTTTGTTTTGTTGTATAGAATAAGAATATTCCAATGATATCGTCTTCGTTTTGATAGTCACAGTGATAAACTCCGTCTATATGTAACATTCCTTTATAAATGTAACGACTATATTCCTATTTACTATCTCTATATTTGACTCATTTTTGCAAGACTTAAAGTGTCGGAAAATATATAATGAATCAAAACTAATGTCTAACATTATCTTAAATAATACAGCTTTTTTATCAGATATCATTAATGTAAGAATGCATTGGGATCTATAAACTACTTTCTACTTACAAATATATATTTTTTTAAATATAAAAATAAAACTTTTACAGTTTTGTAGATTTCGAATCTTATCTAAAAAATAAAATATATTTGAAAAAAGAGAAAGTAAAATACAAATTAACTAGTTAAACATATTGTAATGGCGTCTATATGGTAATGTCCATAATTAAGAGATTGCAACCGAAAAGAAAAATTGATGCATTAACTTAAATAGTTTTACATAAAATTTTATTTGATGAGGTCGGTAGCAAGCATTGATTTTTGTTAAACGATGATAATTTTTTTTATCATAAAATACTCGTATTTTCTTTAAAATATACGGAAAAATATATAACAAATATTGCACACAAGTAATAATTTAGATTGATCTGAAAGAAGATTAGCATTTCATCCTTCTTTGGCATGAATTATTATAATTGCCTTTGTCCTTTAATATATCAATATATTAAAACATTTATATTAAAATATAAAAATAAATAAAGTAAATATTTACACTTAAACTTTTATTCCTTTATTTCGGATAATTTTTGACGCGGATTAATAATTACAAAATGATTATTAAATGTGCATTAGTTTAAGATTCGATCAAAATTCGATTATGTAAATAAATTGAAATCTTGTGTTTGTATAATTTACAAAAGTATTGATTATAGGATGTAAGAACAATACTTATTATAGCTTAATGTATGTAGTTTGATGATTTTCAACGCAATAATTTAAACAATGTTGTTGAGGAAAATAAACAGGAATTATAATCATATTTTAGATTTGTCAAGCTATCAATAGATAATTAAGCAATTCATTCACTTTCATATTAAGTTTATTTTCAATCTATTCGAATAAGAAACCAGAAAATAAGCTATTAAGTTGTTATCTTGATACTTAGGAACGTATTTATAGCAATTTTATAACCCTATTAAGTGAGATAATTAGATATATTTAATCGTAGGCTTTCTTATATGATTAATTATGCAATAAATAAGTCATTTCTGTAAGTTCTTGGAGAACGAAACTCAATTGATCTGATAAATTAAATAAATATATTTATATTCTTTATATCGTTTTTATTTCAAAAATATTTAATTTTCAAAACAATTTTATTGCATTTTAAACAATAAAACATAAAATATCTAAAGATTCGATCATTTGTTTGTCATAATGAAGAATATTGATTATTATCACAACTAATTTCATGCAGTGTCTATCCTCATTGATTCTTTTGATATGTCAGATTCTAACAGTCAACACAACATCATTAAGTGATAGTTTTTTTTTACCTATTCTAGAACATAGATACCTTTCAGATCTGGAAAGCTGTCTGCAACAGAATACCCAAAGAAAACAAACGACCGATTCCTTTTACAATCTGACCCATCAATCCAAAGTGGAACCATCTTCTCTAACAAGACCGCCTGTACAGATATAACCGTGTGACATAATACTATTTCTAATCATCAGAAATGATCGTATAAGTTATATTGGTTAATGTGTTTGAATGGTTATCTTCCTCCTGAGAAAAGCCATCCATCAATCACAATCAATAAAATCGACTATTACACTAAACTATAGTTTATAAATGATATTTAAGATAAAACTGTTTCAATTACCCTTGTGAAAATTTATTTGTGAAATTTTTTCTATATATAGTTTTCAATTCCAGTAACACTTGTCAACAACATCAATACAACGTCAAAAAAACCTTAATTTTTTCTCTTTATACTTTATTTTCTATAATATAGCCTATATTTCCAACCCAATCATAGTTACAATATATATAAAGATTAAATACACATATGCATGATTTGAAGTAGATGTATTTATTTATATAACAGTTCTAAAATTTTATTTGATATTTTAAAAATAAATTTAAAAGATATTGTAAAAATTCCTTCAAAACATCTCTCTTCTATAATATGGTCGGCATTCCAAGGTTGGATATAGCTAATATTTGTCAAGAAATTCCTTTAAGATATTTAGTCTGTACGGCCATATTAACCGTAAAATAAATATAATTTAAGAAATATCATATGACGATAAACATTATTAATCATATTAAATTCTAATGTTAATAGCAAATTATATTTTTCTCTTCTAACTACAACAGAAGCAGATTCTCTGAATGGGTTAAGTTTCTCTTTCAATTTAAATTAATTACTTCACTTATGTAGATGATCTTTCAGCAATTCTTACCCTTTATCAACCTAATCGACAGAGACTATTGTTTGCTATACCTTCTTTCAACATTGGTATCATATAACACATCTAATTGCACTTGTTATCGCCTATACGCCATCCCAAGACGAAATACCTCATCACACACTCTGCGTTGTCGACGTTCAACGCAGGCGCAGTGAGGCAAAAGGAGCGGTCGTCCCATCACTTCAGTCTGACTACAGAGCTTACAGTGAATAGACACTAGGACCTACCCGGGTAGCAACTGATCCTTCTAAGCAACAAGCTGTCAGAGAATTACAGGAGTTTTCCTACTTAAAGTGAAGTATACCGTTAAACATTTAGTCCGTAGGAACTTTGCTAAAATGTTTCAAGCAAAGTTTCGCATTTGGACTAAATTTATACCAATTTGTTCTTTGCTGGTCACTACCGCTTCGTTACCAGAAGTTATTAAAATAGGTAAGTTCGGCTTTCCTCTTTTTAATTTTTAGCATTAAGTCTCATCTGCGGTTTATAATAATCAATTTTTCTCCAACGAAAAGAATTTTTAATTTTTAAAATTTTTTTATATCTTAGTATTTTTAAAAATTGATATTAATTGGTATAAAAAATTATTTCGTTCCTCTAAAGTTTTCGTCAGTAATTTCTGTAGCCTTTTTCTGAAAAAAATTGCTTTACACTTTTTTATCTGTACAATTTTATGGAGAAAAAAGCAAACTTAATATTAATTTTAAATCCAATTTTTTAAATATTTTTTAGCTTATTTTCACAAACTAAATTTTTTTTATTATTAATAATTAATAATTTCGGTTAAATCTCAATTAACATATGATATGTATTAAATAAATACTTTAAGTTAATTTTCTTATATTTATATTTTAGATGTTATTTTATAATTTATTTTAAATCCGATTAACTATAAATACTTAGAAAATTAATAAAGTCGTAATCCTTCCAACATAGATTAGTGGAAGATAACTCTGCTTTCATTATTTTATAAAGTAAGATATAATAAATTTATAACATTATTTATATAATTCAATATTTATCTTAATGGATTACTTCTTGTTTGTGTTTTAATTATTTCGCATAAATAATTATTTCGTACAAGATTTTCGCAATAAATTTTTTTATTGTTACCCTTAAAAAAATTTAAATAATTTTAATGTCTTTTAATTATAAATATGTTTATTTGAATAATATAATATCTAAATAATATATAGAAACANTGTTTTAGATTTTTATGAATTCTACAAAACTTGTGTTTTTTATATGTATGTTATATTCTTTTTTAATGTTTTAGTTGGCTGAAGAGGGGCTTAAGAGCCCGAAACGTGTAAAATGTTCACACGTATCAACTAAATAAAGATGAGAAAACCCGCCAAGTGTCTTAATTTATAGCACTTTATTGTGTTAGAAGCATAAACAAATTGTAAAGCACGGTTTCATATCATCAAAACAAATAATTATTATTGAAAATATTAATGATAGATTGTTATATTTGAGAAAAACTATAAGTTTTAATTAAATTTTTTTATATTATAAGAAAGAAACTTTATGAAAAATATTTACCTCCTACTGTATATGCTTCATAGTTATAAAATAAGTGATGTGCATTAACAATAATTATTTCTTTGATATTATAAAGCATTTCAACAGTAGGTTCTACAAATGGATTGAGAAGATGTCGAATTTCTTTCAAATTTTCTTCAGCCTGACTATACATTCTTTTAAAATATTCTTCCTGTAAAATAACAAAATTTATATTTCAAAAATTGGTAGCTTTAATAACATTATTTACCATAATTTTATGCAATTTCATTAAAGCTTGAGGCCTCATATAACCTTCATAAATTGCTAGAATGGTAATAAAAAGCTTTTCATAACCCATACTACAGTACCATATACCCTACATCAGTGGTTCTCAAACTTTTTGACTGGCTAGCCAAACTGTAGATAGGTAAGCCACAAATATTTTGTATATTCCAAATATACAAAAAGTAGGTCTATTTCTATCATAATTGATGTGTCAAAAATTTTTACAAGCTGGGTTAATGTGTATTGAGGGCTGGATTTGGCCAGGAGACATTTGGACACCACTGTTCTACATCATTGAACACTTGTCATCATGCAGTGTAGAAGACATCTCAAATATTCTGTTTCTTCCATTTTATTTACATCAGCTCTTCATTAGATGTAATTATAGAAAAGACTGTGACCCTAAGTGGCTCTTCAAACACCAAATTTGAAGAGCCATTTATGGTCAAGATAAATTCATGATGGTTTATCTGTATGTTTCCTGATTATTCATTGCTCTTTCCAATAATTTTCAGATGTTTCAACCCCAAATCCTTTCTCATTTCTTTCCGTTTAATCACTTTTCAGAACTCATAACATTTCTTGCAAATTTTTCCTTAATTTCTAGAATTCTTCATTTAAATAGTGCCTGAACTGTAATTTATGGAATTGAATCAATTACAAACAAAATCTTAGTTTGATTCTATAAATTTCTGCATTTGTTTTAAAAAACATATAAATATTTATAACTTGCTCATCTATATGCTGTATTAAAAAACGCTTTACATCAATTATTACTAAGTATTCTATTAATTAAAACACATTAAATAGTACATAATATATAATATTTTTTAAATTCTATATAACACTTTTTTTGTTAATGTTGTAAATTGGCTGTCTGGAGAATGTTTTTAAAATATAAAAATTACACTAATTTAAATTACCTCTCTTCTTGTAATTTTTCTAAGAGATTTCATAATTTGTTTAATAGGATGATTACGATCTCTTTTAACTGAATGAATTCTAGTTTTCAGTATTTCTATTTTAGAATGAAGCCATCTTCCAAACTTATACAATGATTTTAAATCTACATGGCCTTTTGTTGATATCTTGAATGGAGTTACTAATTTCAGTAAAATTTTCCCACGATTATACACTTTTTCAGGATTTCTCTGTAAATAATAATAATTTGTATTGTAAAAATAAAAAGAATATGTATGTGATTTAGATACAAATTGTTTTTTATAAACAGCAAAGTAAACAATCACAAATAATAATAATTTTTATGCTTATAAGTTTTCCTAATAGAATCAATTTTATAATGATTACATTTTAATAGGCTATTGTATTTTAGTAATTTTAACTATTTTCAATGGCAATCCAAAATATCTAAAGTTATCAAAATGTGATTGCTTCAACTGTTTAGCAAATTTACAGTCAATAAAAAATAAAATTTTAAATTATTCATTTAAAATTAAAAACAAAACTTTACTCTAAATTAAAATACAAGTTTAAAATAGATTTTCATATATCACACTCTTCATTTTAAATACATAATATGCATATAATTTATGATGGCAACCATCTTAACTTCAGTTTTCAGCACTCAGCATCTCACTGTACTAGTAGTGTGCAGTGGCTAACTTAAAACAGAAATAGCTTAACCATCTTTTAACAAAGTGGCTTTAAGTGGTTTTATCAGAAAATAAGCCCAATATGTACAACAAAATAGATTACATTTAACTGCTATGTAAATAATCACAAGAATTATCCAGGAAAATACAAAAATCTGTCTGTCTTTTAGCATGATTACAATATTACAGTACAGTACTGTATTTTATTATCCTATTACATAAGTACGGTATATTAATAGAAGCTATTTGTGAAATTGGTTTTGTTTCATACCCGAATGTTAGTTTGTGTACAAAACTTTTTAACTTTTTTGATTTTCAATTTTGGATTTAACTTTTAAATATGGAGAGCTTTTATTTTTAATATGCAAAGTCAGAATCTCAATTCAGCATCCTCTATTGTGAGTAGAGTGATTGATGCGGGATAATACAGGGCTACAGGGTGTTTCAAAAAGAATCATCCAATTTAAAAATTCATAACTATTCACCTTTTAATCTATTTCGATCAAACAATGTACTGTTAGAAAGAGGAAATTCTCGAGTTTTACGCAATTACTGATTGGAAGCACCACATGCTTTGTTCACCTGTCACTTCCATATTTTCGGGAATCATATATCTTGATATGCTTGAAAACTGGCTTTTCTCACAGTTAAGCACTGATTCAGATGACTTCATTTTCCAGTAGGACAGGGCACCACCACACTGGAGCCTGGAAGTTCAAGAATTTTTTAACACACAGATTCCCCAACAATGGATCAAATGTATGGGACCTAATGATTCAGTTTTACATAACTGGCTTCCTAGGTCACCGGACCTCGTGGTTTGTGATTTTTTCTCATGGGGGATAAAAGACTCTGTTTATGTCCCTCCTCTTCCAGCTACAGTGGTCGAACTGCAAAACCACAAAACAGCAGTGGTGACAGCAGTGGATCCAGACATGCTTGCAAAAATTTAGGACGAATTTCACTACCATTTGGACATATACTAAACATCTAAAGGGTTATTGAACACCTATGATTTAGTATGTAAAAAACTTGGAGATTAGCCTTGTAATATAAAATTAATCTTAAGTATGTATCTTTATTACATTTCATAATATAATCATTTTAAATCAGATGATTCTTTTTGAAATATTATCCCACATCAATCATTCTAAAAGAACTATAAAAGTTTTACTTAAAGATAAAGGAGGAAAAAGAAAAACAAGCTATTATGCAATAAATTTATATATAGATATTTATTTATCTTGTAGCAAATGCTACCTTCCACATCTGAACTGTTGTGACAACAAGCAACAAACCTCAGGTGGTATGCATTATCAGTTCCAAAAACAAGTCCAAACACATCCAGTGAGCATCATTAGTAGTTGTTAGTTGTTAGCCATGACAACCAGACTAATGTATAGATTTTGCAATGAAGACAATAAACTTAGCAGTTGTGTTATAACCTTTGTGTCATTCATTCTATCATGAATATTGACAAAAATAAGACAACAGTAGTAGAACCACTACATTTGGTGAGCCGGACTAGAAACGTAATTCAACTAAGAAGAAGAACAAAATCCACCTTTTGAGAATCTTCATCAGGTATGTTGTTCCTCTTTCCTCAAAACACCTCAGTCGTTGGATCATGGCCAAGACTGATGCAGTAAAAAACCCTCCATACAATTTTCCTGACCCAGTCTTATGGTTTTACATGTGTGAAAGCACATTTGCATTTGTATCCCCAAAGCCAATCATGGAAAGTGCCACAAAGTTCAACTATGTTGTGTCTCATTTACCACCAGAAGTTGTATCAATGGTTAGAGACATTATCATCCCTCCAGACTGTACGAACCTGTACAGTCACATAAAGGTGGAACTTATCAAATGATCTGGAAAATCATCTCAACAGGTGATATGAAAACTATTGGTATGAGAATAGCTATGAGATCACAAATCCTCCAAACTACTACATGTTTTGGCTGTCAGGCAGCAAATTTTCAAATTTTGGATGCAGTTATGCTAGAATTAGTCATACAACACCTTCCAACTTCCATCCAGTCTATCCTAGCTGCCACTACTTCACTCAATGTAGACAAAGCAGCAGAAGTAGCAGACCGCATGATGGAAGTAACCCCAGCAACAATAGCTTCAGTATCACAACCAAAGAAATCCAATACCATAACCAGCAAAATACTAGTTGAAATAGACAAACTCAACAAGTGAATCAATAAACTAATGCAGGCACATCTGGATCACAGTGTCCATTTCCCTTGACTCTCCCGCAACAGTTCAACCTGCCATAGTATCAACAACTATTGCTGATACCACAAATGTTTCAGCACAAAGGCACAAAAATGTACTCCACCATGTAGCTTTTCAACAAACAAGAGTGGTGAAACAAGAGACAACATGCACTTTGCCAGAACAATCTCATTGCCTGTTCATACTAGACAAGAGAACGAACATTAACTTTCTCATCAAGTTCCAACATATCAATCTTTCCAGCCTCTTCATTACAAAAGAAATGCACACCTCAAATGACCTTGATGACAGCAAGCACAACTGCAATTCATGTCTACAATTAGCAAACACTCACTCTCAATTCAAAGTTAAAAAAATTTTTCTCTGATTAGTGTTATACGGGTTTAATAATCCATTAATATAAATTTATCTAAACGTTTATAAAATAGCGAATAAAAATTTATAGATACAATTGAACATTGTTTCCAATATTTACATGTGCTTATTTTCAAATCGATGATTGTTTTCTTTACCGCACCTATCTTAAACTAATTATCCAATTCATGTGCTTCTGTCTTTCTCCTGCACAGTATGAGTTAACCAAGCATTTACCATAATAGGAAATAACGATTTCTCATTTGATGCCAGTGTCCTCTGTAAACTCACTGATAGGTATAAAGAGGAGAGATGTTGAGAAGTTCCATCTTTTATGATCTTCCTACTTTAACAATGAAAGATATGTGTGCCTAATTGATTTAATGCTGTATTGATGGCGACAAATTTACATACAAATTAAACATTAAATGTCTTCCTTTAAAGCATAATGTTATGCTAAATTCTGATGTTTTTAAGTTCGGATACACTAATAAAGTATTATTGCTTTAGAAATAAAATATATAATGTAAGGGATAATGGAATTTTTATACTTTTTGAAATTATGCTATCAAATTTTTTTCTGAGCTTTTATAATAGATATTACTTGTTTTCACATATATATTTATAAGCTTAATTTCTACTTATATTTATTAATGATAAAAGTAATATTTTTCTTCATTTTCGCTGTTTATTCAAATTTTAATATTGTTTTAATTGAAATTTACTTAATTATATATTGATCGAAAATTTAAAAGTACTGATATTACCTTTATTATATTGTAATTATATTATTATAATTTTTCATTTTAATGTTTGCTTTTTTGTTGAATATTTTGACTTTGTTTGAATATTCATAAAATAAAATGATTTAAAATTAAAATTTAATTTAATTTACGAGTTGATTATATTGATATGATTTCTTTAAATTAATAAAAGAAAATATTCGATACATACATGTGTATACGCATAGACCAATCAGGAAGTTTAGTTTTTTGGTAAAGATTATATTCCCGATATCAGGATCTTTCACGAGAGTTATTGATAAAGCAATCAGACTTGACACAAAAGATGTAAATTTAACCACAAAGAAAGAAAGTAATGCGAAGAAAATTCTCAAATTTAGCATTACGTAATCTGTTTAAGATACAAATGACATGTCTTCTTCTTAAGTTGTATAAAAGATTCCTTTCGACAGTAAAAATCTCGTTTTGATCGACTTTCTTACGTTAAAAGGGGGGAAAACTTCAGATAAAGTATTATACTTTCAACCTATACAAATTTTAATAAATTTTGTGTTTAATTCCTTGAGAATAAACTTTAAAACAAGAATAAACTAATATATATTTTTACGTAAACTGTTTTCTTTAAATTCATTTATTTTTTTTTATAAAAAAAGAATATGTTACCTTTAAAAGGTAAAATTTTAATGAAATGAAAAGTTGTTAAATGTATATATTTTTAAATTCGACTAAAAATGGTAATGTATAGTAGATTCAGTTTCTAGAAAATAATTTAACAGCTACATCATCCGTTATGTTATCATAGAAGACAGTGAAAAGTAGACCAGCTAGTAGAATAATCGAGAAAGAGCTATCAATATCAATACCATCTGCACAATTCGTAGATATGAGAGAGATAGTAGGATTTGTGGTCTAGATGAGGATGTTCTAGCACTTAACAAAGCTGATGCTGACCCTAAAACCAATAATGGATAATTCGAAGATGGAAAATTGTTTTTAATATTTTCTTTACTTGGCAATAAATATAATTNAGCCATCCATCAATCACAATCAATAAAATCGACTATTACACTAAACTATAGTTTATAAATGATATTTAAGATAAAACTGTTTCAATTACCCTTGTGAAAATTTATTTGTGAAATTTTTTCTATATATAGTTTTCAATTCCAGTAACACTTGTCAACAACATCAATACAACGTCAAAAAAACCTTAATTTTTTCTCTTTATACTTTATTTTCTATAATATAGCCTATATTTCCAACCCAATCATAGTTACAATATATATAAAGATTAAATACACATATGCATGATTTGAAGTAGATGTATTTATTTATATAACAGTTCTAAAATTTTATTTGATATTTTAAAAATAAATTTAAAAGATATTGTAAAAATTCCTTCAAAACATCTCTCTTCTATAATATGGTCGGCATTCCAAGGTTGGATATAGCTAATATTTGTCAAGAAATTCCTTTAAGATATTTAGTCTGTACGGCCATATTAACCGTAAAATAAATATAATTTAAGAAATATCATATGACGATAAACATTATTAATCATATTAAATTCTAATGTTAATAGCAAATTATATTTTTCTCTTCTAACTACAACAGAAGCAGATTCTCTGAATGGGTTAAGTTTCTCTTTCAATTTAAATTAATTACTTCACTTATGTAGATGATCTTTCAGCAATTCTTACCCTTTATCAACCTAATCGACAGAGACTATTGTTTGCTATACCTTCTTTCAACATTGGTATCATATAACACATCTAATTGCACTTGTTATCGCCTATACGCCATCCCAAGACGAAATACCTCATCACACACTCTGCGTTGTCGACGTTCAACGCAGGCGCAGTGAGGCAAAAGGAGCGGTCGTCCCATCACTTCAGTCTGACTACAGAGCTTACAGTGAATAGACACTAGGACCTACCCGGGTAGCAACTGATCCTTCTAAGCAACAAGCTGTCAGAGAATTACAGGAGTTTTCCTACTTAAAGTGAAGTATACCGTTAAACATTTAGTCCGTAGGAACTTTGCTAAAATGTTTCAAGCAAAGTTTCGCATTTGGACTAAATTTATACCAATTTGTTCTTTGCTGGTCACTACCGCTTCGTTACCAGAAGTTATTAAAATAGGTAAGTTCGGCTTTCCTCTTTTTAATTTTTAGCATTAAGTCTCATCTGCGGTTTATAATAATCAATTTTTCTCCAACGAAAAGAATTTTTAATTTTTAAAATTTTTTTATATCTTAGTATTTTTAAAAATTGATATTAATTGGTATAAAAAATTATTTCGTTCCTCTAAAGTTTTCGTCAGTAATTTCTGTAGCCTTTTTCTGAAAAAAATTGCTTTACACTTTTTTATCTGTACAATTTTATGGAGAAAAAAGCAAACTTAATATTAATTTTAAATCCAATTTTTTAAATATTTTTTAGCTTATTTTCACAAACTAAATTTTTTTTATTATTAATAATTAATAATTTCGGTTAAATCTCAATTAACATATGATATGTATTAAATAAATACTTTAAGTTAATTTTCTTATATTTATATTTTAGATGTTATTTTATAATTTATTTTAAATCCGATTAACTATAAATACTTAGAAAATTAATAAAGTCGTAATCCTTCCAACATAGATTAGTGGAAGATAACTCTGCTTTCATTATTTTATAAAGTAAGATATAATAAATTTATAACATTATTTATATAATTCAATATTTATCTTAATGGATTACTTCTTGTTTGTGTTTTAATTATTTCGCATAAATAATTATTTCGTACAAGATTTTCGCAATAAATTTTTTTATTGTTACCCTTAAAAAAATTAAAATAATTTTAATGTCTTTTAATTATAAATATGTTTATTTGAATAATATAATATCTAAATAATATATAGAAACACGTAAATTATACATGTCATTAAGTACATTCATCAATGTTTCAATTAAATATAATTTAAATATACTATTTTTAGGGTAATTACTGCATTTGTATATCTCAAATTTTTCAAATCACTGAATTAAGAAAATTTGATTAACGTTTCTATTGATTTGCAATTAATGAAAATAAGAAAAAAATTGAAAATTACGTTTGATACGTTATCGTAAATAATTGCAACAAATGTCCTAAATTATCATTATTTACAATAAATAGTATCGTGTATAAATGTTCGTCCAAAGTATTCATTTTCAAGTGGATTACTGGTTCTTGAAAGTTAATTAATAATTCAGTTTCGTTTTTTCATTGGATTTCCGATTTTTTTAATTATATCTAAATCGTTCATTAATTATAATGCTTTCTCCATAATTATCTAACTCACTTTGTTACAGTTCAGTAATTATAATCATTCAACAGGCACTCATCTTGCTATGATTTTAAATATGAGATTTTCGAACGTCGTTGTTGTTTAATTGTAAGAAGCACTAAAAAAACTATACTCAAAAAGCATTTTTTTAAGATTTAATAAAATTCAAAACCGTAACAGGATAATTAAATGCCATTTTTTTAAACCTGGATATTAAATATAACATATAAGAATTATTACATTAATAAATCTTATGTAAATTCCATGGTAATAAAAAACTTTTAAAAAAATATCTGTTCATTATATTATAAAAGCAGTGTTAAAGAATACAATTTCTTAATGATTGCTATATCTATAAAGAATTGGTAATATTTTTATCAGTTAAATCAAATTTGAATTCTACATCAAATATCAGTTTTGATGCAGAAATTTAAGGAATTAATTTAAAAAAAAAAAAAAAAAAAACATCAAAGGAGCAACAAGTACATATTTAAAATATTAATTTGAATCTTGCATAACGGTTGATGGACATAAAAATAAATGGAAAGAAAGAGAAAAAAGTCAGTAAAACTTAAATAATTATTTATAAAACATATATATTTTAAATACTACTTTAAGAATAAAGTAACTTTAAAATATTTAATTTTTCTGCAATATAACCAAAGTTAAAATTTCAAAATTTAACTCTGTGATATTTATTTACTTATTTTTATCTTATTTTAACGTTCAATAATGGCTGTTGTTAATCTTTAAGCTATACTTCTACTTTACTGTATAAAACAAAGGAAGACACAAAATTCAATATACTTCTAAGTATAATTTATTCAAAAGGATCAACTGAAGCTTAATTGAAGTACGGATGATGACAACTAGTGTCAATGAATATGCAAAATATCTAAATGCCTATTCATTAAATTTAAATATATGTTATAAATGAAGTATTCTAATATCAAATATACGTAGTAATTTTCTATAATAATCACTTTCCTGTAAATTTATAAAAAATATAAATATAATAGTTGGGTGATTTATTAAGATTACCTTAATTGTTATGATTTTACTAATGCAAGACGTTAATAGCATCTTTATATATGGAATATATAATTTAAATCATACTTTATTCAGGTCAATAAGACCCGTGTTTATAATTATTACGAGAAATATTTTCTTATAATAATTATATAATTTTACATATTTTAGAATTTCTTTAGTTTTTAATTATTTTAAATGTTTGATTTTAAATAAATAATAAATTATATATATGTATCGATACTTAATTATTATTTTATGTAATAAGTTTTTTAATCAAATTCATATTCTAATAGTAAATTACATATTAAATTATATCAACTGCATTTTTAATTTTAGATCAATATAATAAAAACTTTAAAAAATTTAATTTCTTTACTTTCTGATACTCTATGGTATTTAAAATCAACTTTCTAATAAAGAAAATAATAAATTTTATATAGTTTAAATATTCAAAATTCTACAAATTTACTTAACCGCAGTACTAATGATTTATACACTATGAAGTTTAAAATTTCAACATGCAAAACTAAAAGTATGGGAAAATATTTATATATAACAGAAAAAGAAAATACAATAAAATGACAATGGTTACTGCTTCTAGAATTCGATTTCTTAAATGTAGCGAATGAAAAACGCCGTATACAAAAATTCCCTCCTGTAAGAGAATAGTACTTTTTCTTTGTTTAAGTTACAAATTCTAAATATATTGTTTAGAAAATTCAATGAAGAATTCCATCAGTTCTTATATTTTTAGTATATATACATACATTTATATATATATAGCCTATATTATATATAGGAATTTTTCAACTGTTTATATTTTTTTACTTTCTTATTTTCGAATCTCTACTATTATTTCAATAACGCTGCAATTTTTGTCAATTTAATACTTTAAAATCTCATGTAAATTGCATAATATTTTAACCACAATAAAAATTTCTGTTTTAGTTGTTATTTTTATAAGTTTTAAAATATCATGTAAATAATTTAAATCAATTTAAAGGCTTATTTGATTTTTTGAAAATGCACGTTGCTTTCTAGTATTATTTTATTTTTTATATGTAAATGATATTTTATTAGTACGTAAATAAATTTATTAAATTATACAAGAATTTTGCTTAGAAATATTAAAAATTTGCTATTATAAAATAAATTTTAAGAATTATATTCTGAAATTTTGAAAATAATAATCATGAATTTCTTTTATTTAATTGCAAGTTTTAATAAATTATTTTTAGTACTTTTATAACCTAAACCATAATAATAATAAAATATTTTATTTATTTAATAAAATCTATTTTTTCTATTTACGTAGATAAAAAATATGAACAAAATGCAATTATGAATTTTATAAAGTACAGAAATCTGCATTATTTAAATTAATCTGTGCAAATGAATTCAGTTTTTTAATGGAAGAATTTTATTAAAAATGATCGATATATATTCACTTATTTTTTAGTTTTGTCGAAATAAGGTTAATAGAATATTGCCAAAAAACTGGAGAATGATTTACGGTTTAATGTTTAAAAAAGAACGTCAAATATGAAACAATATATCATTAAATTTATTAAGAACATCGTTTAATAAATTATCGTAAAATAATATAACTGCATTAATGATTTAATTTAAACTTTTAAATTATTTAAACGTTATGTAAAATTTTGTTATTTTTTTATATTATATAATATCTGTATTTGTTGATATTGACGTAAACGCATATATAATTCACGTGTTAATATTAAATGAACATTTTTATAAACATATTGAAAAGTTAATGTTTATACTTTGTGCTAAAATAATTTCTTACTTCTAACTTTTACTATCAAATTAAATAGTATTATTTAAAAAAATAATATCGGATTATAAAAAAATAAAGTTATATTATGACGAATTGAAAGATAAATGTGAAACTTTACATATCGATTTTGATTTAAATTTCACTTCTGAAAGAATTCTGTTAACATAGATAGGGCTGATATCTATCGTAAATCTAAAACATCATTTTGATTTCTAGTGGGTCTGATTCAATTTTGAGTATATTTATATTACTGATATAATTAAGCATCTATCTGTGATTATTTATTAATTAAAATAATAGAAATTATACGAAAATGGATAAAGATTTTAAAAGATGTATGAAACATTTGTTTTATTTAATTAAATAAATTTAATACTTTAGTAAATTGTTGACAATTCAATTACAAATCCTTGGTTCTGTAAATTACAGATTAAAAGTTTTAATATAAATCATTTTCGTTGCAACAGAACGTTATGATAGATATTTGTAAGTTCATATTTGATATATAATTGTTAGATTATATAATCCGATTTAGAATTGTTTTAATTATTAAAAGAATATTTGCAATAAATAATATAGCGATTATAATAAATATTTTATTTAAATGGCTTCTCAAATAATTACATTTATGTATTAAGCATCCAAAATAAGAAAGATGAGACTGAAAAACTGTGTCATATCATTTATGGAAAAAAAAACAAAATAACATTATTGAAATTAGTTTGAGGAAACATTAAAATTTTATGAAATTATAAAAACCTATTTCTACAGAACTTTAAAGTATATTCTGATTATTGCCTTTTCTTCCTTATAAATTCTTCCTTTATAATAGAAGTGTTTTGTAAAATTTATTAGCAAATTGGTAATTAGAATTATCTTAAATACTTATAACTGAAGAACAATATTAAACTGGAACTAAAATGGCAAATATTTATTAACATTATATCTGTAGTTTTTATTTAATTTAAAATAAAATAAAATGAAAATTATTTAAAATA